GATACTCCTGCAGCTCCTTCACCAGATCCCAGTTTATCCTGAAACAAAGCAGAACATCAGTCAGAACCAACTCAGAACCGTTAAACTAGGAGCAGCCCAGTGATGTTCAGCTGGGATGAGGTTCCTGCTGATGATTCAAGGGTTAACCAAGACCAGTATTGAGTCCAGAACACTGTATAGAACCGCTCTAGTGCCGGTCTCTGTAGACCCGATCGACATCGACCAGCAGCAGCTGATTGGCTGGGACAGAGAAACCAGCCTTAGACTTTTTTTTAGACTAAAACAACCTTTGTCATTTTGTAAACACTGAGTTTACAGCTTTCATGTTTCACATCAAGAGTCTGCATCACACTGATAATATCGAAACAAATAGACATCTAGAATCTTTTTCTACTGCAGCTTTGCACCATCTATATTTCTTTGTTTTTGTGCTCTGAGCTTCCATATCAACGCCTTTTTCATCATGTTTTTTTTCCCATACTGTTTACATTTGATCACTGGTGACTAAAGGATGGAAAAGTTCATTTACTGCTAAGCTGCTCTTTCACCGTAGGAAAGCTGTATAGATGAAATGTTTCCTAAACATTCTGTGTAGGTTAGGGTTAACCCTAACCCTACTGAAAAACAATAAGTTCATGGGAGTCTAACTGCGAAGGCCGTGTGGAGTTGCTTCTCTGAAAGCGCTCATTATAAGACCTGGTCTGGAACGCGTAGAGCTGCTGTTTATGAAGCCGGATGAAACGATGAAGTTAGCGCGGCTAATGCGAGCTTTCAAACGCGGCATGACCCGCTAACAATCCCGCTAACCATCGCCTGGAACCTTATCTAGGAACGAGAACGACCGCAGCGGTTCGCTTCATCACTCACTCTTCTTCTTCTTCGCCTTTTTTCTTGTATCCACCCTGTTGCTCTTTCTTCTCCTGTTTTTCTTTGGTTGCTCTTTTCTTCTTCTTCTTCAACCTTGTGCTGCTGACGTTTGCTTCTTCTGCAGCTTCCTCTCTGTTTGGGTCAGTGGAAACCATAACTTCACACACCTGGTCACCATCTTCCTCCTGTGATGTCATCTCCTCCATTCTTCTTCTCTTCTTTTGATGTGCTGATCCATCAGAGGGAGGAAGGCTCAACCTTTCTTCTTCCATTTTTTCTTTCTTCTTCTTCTTTGGACTGCTGAGGTCAGCAGCTGCAGGAACTTCCTCCATCTTACCTTTTTTCTCCTTCTTCCTGTGATGTTCTATCAGGTCAACAGCCTCCTCTTTATCTAAGCACCTTTTTTTCTTCTTCTTCTTCTTCTTCTTGCTTTGCAGCAGGCTAACCTCTTGGTCCTCCTCTTTAATGCTCTGAGGAGGGATGAGGCCATCAGAGCCGGCTGCTCCCGTCTGACTTGCTGACTCCCTCCAAGGCAGTCCATCATCACAGTCCCAGCTCTTCTTCTTCTTCTTCTTACTGCCATCAGGTGCGTCTCGCATGCTGACAGCTGGATGTTCTTCCAGGTTCTCATAGTTCCTCTTCATCTTCTTTCTGGGGCTTCTAGAGTCTTCAGAAGAAACAGATAAGAAGACATCCAACCTCCTCTGGGAGACAACCTGTACATAAGCAGGGATTAAAGCATTAAAAAAAACCTGAACCTAAACTTTTTAGACACAGGCAAAACTCTCTCTCTGTATATACAGTGGGGACTGGTTGGAAATGGACGGTTTCCT